CTATGGATGATGCACCATTAGCCAGATATATTCAATAAATCGGAATCCAATTACCAGGTTAAGGAAATTGGAAGTAAATGTAATTAGCCCAGGCCCCTCCACATGCTGTGCCCTTGCTTCCTCCCTTAATGAGAGCTTTTCTTTTCCAAAGCACTCGACACCATGTCACGCACCCAGAAAAAAGCTGACACTTGGCTGCAGCAGCCAGACCACAACAGAGCCTGGAGAAAGGGTCAGTCTAGTTGATTTTCCCTTTAAAACTGGGCAGATGGTTAATATCCCCTGCATTAATTCTCTCCAGGAATAGCAGGCTCTCTGCTCAGCTATAGCATGTGTCCGTCAGGGCTGTCAGCTCTCCTTCACAGGGAAGAGCATCTGGCCTCACTAGGCAAGGGAGTGAAAAAAATCACAACAGAAACTGTGCTACGGAACTGGTGCAATTTTATCATTAGAGATGGGTTCAGGCCCTAGCCTTAGGAGCTGAATTGCTGGAAGTTTGGCTCCCACATTTTGGTTCTCCCTCTTTACACAGAGGCAATTTAGGAATTTCAAATCCAGACCCAGGATCGGATTCTGATCCAGATTCAGACCAAGGGCTCTGGTGCAGGCCTAGCTCTACTTATCAGAGTACAGTAACTCCTCACTTAACGTTGTAGTTATGTTCCTGAAAAATGCGACTTTAAGCGAAATGATGTTAAGCAAATCCAATTTCCCCATAAGAATTAATGTAAATGAGGGGGTTAGGTTCCAGGGAAATTTTTAAACAAACAATTTAATACTGGTACACAGTGATGATGATTGTGAAGCTTGGTTGAGGCGGAGGAGTCAGAGGGTGGGATATTTCCCTTACTGCTAAATGATGAACTAGCAATTGGCTGAGCCCTCAAGGGTTAACTCTCTCACTCTACAAGGCAGCAGGAATGGAGGGAGATATGCGCATTCCCCTTTAAGTACACTGCCTTGTTAATTAGATCAGCTTGCTGAGACCGCAGCTGCTGCAAGCTCCTTCTGTCCTGAGCCCTGGTGTGTCCCCCCCTGCTCTATGGAAGAGGGGGTAAGCGGAGTGCAGGGGGGAGGGGGACACCCTGACATTAGCCCCCCCTTCCTTCCCTCCCCCGCACAGCAAGCAGGAGTCTTGGGGAGCAGCTCCAAGGCAGAGGGCAGGAGCAGCACATGGCAGTGGGGGGAGGGACAGCTGCAATTGATAGCCTGCTGGGCAGCTGCTGCACAGGGAACTTAGGGGAGCGGGGAGCTGATAGGGGGAGCTGATGGGGGGGCTGCCGGTCCACCCTGGTTCCAAGCCCCCACCAGCTAGCTGCAACGGGCTGCTCTTCCTGCAAGCAGTAGAAAAAGCAGGCGGCTGCCAAACGATGTCAGAAGGGAGCATTACACATCTTTAAACGAGCATGTTCTCTAATTGATCAGCAACATAACAAGGAAACAACATTAACTGGGACGACTTTAAGTGAGGACTTACTGTACTAAGGATTCTGGCGGTTGGATGGGAACTACATTAGGAGCTGAAGGTTGGGCCATGTCCTTGGAAAGCAACTCAAACCAAATGAATTGCAGAGAGAGAAGCAGGACTGGGGAACACAAGGGAAAGGAGTTCTAATTTAGCTCTCAGAAGGAAGGGTTCAGATTGCCCCAGCTGCTCCAGGCAGGTCAGATCCCCTCCCCATACATCAAATCCACCCCTAAGTGATACCATCCAGGAGAAGATGCAGCTCCTTCACTGTGCTACCAAACCAACAAGCCTCTGCTGTCTCTTCTAGTGCAAACCCTTTAAATAATTCTTTGCACCACTTGTCACTGTCCTGCATGAAGCAGCACAGTGCTGGGGGCCAGGAAGTCCTGGTTTCTAATCCTGGATCTTCCCCAGGCTGTCTAGACAGCCTTGGGCAAGTCCCTCAGTGATTGTATTGCCCCATGTGTGAGTAAGGTACTTCACAAGGAGGTGAAGAATCAATTAGTGATTGTTTGTTCACTGCCCTGAAAGGAATACTGCTTAGATTCATAGATTCTAGGACTGGAAGGGACCTCGAGAGGTCATCGAGTCCAGTCCCCTGCCCGCATGGCAGGACCAAATACTGTCTAGACCATCCCTGACCTACTCTTATCTAACCTACTCTTAAATATCTCCAGAGATGGAGATTCCACAACTTCCCTAGGCAATTTATTCCAACCCCGCCCCCCAACTCCCTGCACTAAGCCCCCTGCCTGCACCTCGCACCCCAACTCCCTGCCCTGAGCCCCCTCATACACCCCGCACCTCTCCTGCACCCCATCCCCCTGCCCTGAGCCCCCTGCCGCACCCCAACCCCTTGCCCTGAGCTCCCTCATACACCCTGCACCCCTCATGCACCCCAACCCCCTGCTGCACCCCGCACCCCTCCTGCACCCCTTTCCTGAGCCCCCCATACACCCCGCACACCTCCTCTGCCCCAATCCCTTGCCCTGAGCCCCTTCCTGCACACCGCACCCCCTCCCACACCTCACACTCCCTTCCGCACCCCAACCCTCTGCCCTGGCCCTGCATACAATTTCCCCACCCAGATGTGGCCCTCGGCCCAAAAAGTTTGCCCACCCCAATTGTATGCCCTAGATGCCACTCATGGAGATCTCAGCTCTCCCCTGTGAAAGATGGGATGGCAACAGGATAGGTCTCCATAGGGCAGCATTCACTCCTTCCGCAGGACCCCGAGAAGGATTCTCTGCAGGTCTGGGGATCCAGACATGGGGAGTGGGTGGGATGTGCCTCACCCTCCATCAGCAACATGGGATTAGGAGAAAGGTATTAGAGCTAGAGGCAGCGGGTAGTGTCACAGGGACTGCTGCTGGCCAAGAGAGCCCTATGAGTGTGGCCCCATTGGAACTGCACCGGCAAGAAGCTGGCTTGGATCACAGAGCCTTATGTACGGCCCTGGCCTCCCACTGAGTCCTTGAAATCTATGAGGATCCCAGGGCTCCAAGGGACTGCAGGCAGGCCCCATAGAAAACGCTGCCCCCGCCCCATCAGAATGACCAGGGAGAACACTTTGCCAGAAGAACCTCAGGGAGATTCCCTACCATAAGTTTGCCCACAAGAGGGGACGATTGGGGCCGCTATTGCTACATGCAGCTGACTGAAGAAGTGACAACATGTGCCGAGCAGGGAGGATATGGCCTGTGGCAGCTTTTCCCCTGAAGAGCCTCGTGGGGAAAATGAGGATTAAAACTGGGTGAGCTCTTGTAAAGGAAAGTGCCGGAATCCTTTGCCTAGCTATAGTGAAATCAGGCCCTTCTAGACCCTCCCCACCCCTCAGAGCTGAAAGCACTCAGCTGCTGCCTGTCAGTTTTCCACTGTCATTAGGGGAGTCCATCACCACTAAGTCAAGCAGCACTGTAATTATGAAAGAAGACAATCCCCCAGATGGCACAAATCCACCTGTGAAGCACCATCCAAATGGCCCTCCAAAGCAGAGAGCGTGTTTCTTTGAGTGTGCCACTCAGGAGCCCTTTCCTTTGGCTGATGGAGAACTAGCCGGATAAGTTCTTATATTTCTCTCCCCCCCCCGCAACGCCTCCACTTTCACTCTGCAATAATCCCTTCCTCCCTTTATTAACCCCTTGTCCTGCTGAACAAAATAGCGAGCAGCTGTGCTGCACTTGGCACCTCATTTGATTGTTTCTTCCGCAGCGCAAGATCTCCGCGGGCCAGAGGGGTCAGTGCTGGTGGTATGCTCACACACATAGACACGTGGTCCTGTTCACTCAAAATTCTGCCTGTCTTGGAGGAAGGTGAGGTCTACTTTTCCTCGAGAATCTGAATGGAATCCTATGGTGTTCACCCTCCTGAGCAGGTGAAGTTTTCAGTGGATAGGATGTCAGCATCAGACATCAGACTAGACAAACACAAGGGGGAAGTCTCATCCTAAGAAAATAGAGACCAAATCAGACCCCTTCCTCTTCATTTGTGGGTGGATCAGTGAATACTGTTTCCTCAACACAAGCACCCAAAAACTAATGAAAGGGGCACTCAATAAATTTAGGCCTAACACTTAGGTTTGGTTTATATTGAATAAAGTGGGAGAGGTCACAAGCATCATAGAAATAGAATAAAATCACACAGTTGCTAGCTCTCAGGATTTTATTGCGTGTCTCATGATATTTGGTGCTTCTCTGAAAGCCCTGGCTTCAGGAGGTGATTCGGAGAGGAGATCTGCTTTCAGTTTTAAAAAGTAAAGTTTCTAACCCTAATGGTTGCAGAGAAAAGCTTGAAAACAGGACTTGAATGCACCCTAAAGGAGCAGAAGCCAGAAGGGAAATAAAAGGCACTCGGCATTTATTTTAAGCCAATCTCATGATTTTGTGGACCCATCTCATGATTTTGGAGGTCAGCATGAAAATCAAGAAACATTTAAAGGTCAGACTTGACAAAGCCCTGGCTGAGATGATTTAGTTGGGGATTGGTCTGGCTTTGAGCAGGGGGTTGGACTAGATGACCTCCTGAGGTCCCTTCCAACCCTGATATTCTATGATTCTTTTTAAAATTTCAGTGCAATCAGTAGGGATTTTTGAGGATTTAAACATCCCCTTCCAATTTGGGAAAAAAACTAAAACAGCATTAGTGTGTTTGCACAAGAGAACCAGGAGTAGAAACGGACTATAAACAAGAAGTAAAATTGACCAGTCTAGCTTCCCTGCCCTGGTGAAATGCAAACAACGTATCAAACAGCACAAATCTGTTTCAATTAATTGTCTAAGGTGATATTAGTAATGCATATAATAAATTATTTTTAAGCCAACATGTCTTATCTCATCAGGGTCTCTTTGAAGACAAAGATATCCCCTAGGTATGTTCCCAATCCAAGAACATAGTGTGCCACGTCTCTAGCCCATTAATTCCCCCCCAAGCGTACTTTTTTGTCTCCAGTGCACACCTTTAAAGAAGGACCAATCATGTCCCTTTTTGACTAGTGCTGCCTGATCAAGGAAGAGGATGGGAAGGATGCAAGAACCTGTAATGCCTGGTGTCGCGGATGGCACGGTCACTGGGAATCCTCTCACTCTCCCGCTGGTTAAAGGCATAGAGGCGGTATGGGTCCTCTCCGCCCTTCCATTTCCGGGCATTCAGGTACCTTCTCTCTTCAAACTGATCCCAGAGGTCATCCCAGTCGACATCTGAGCCCTGCACACACAAACATTGAACCCCGTCAGAACATGGAGGCCTGCACGTCACAGGTGTCTCTGGGTAGAGTGCAGTGACACCCAGCAAATGTTTAGCAGCTCCTCAGCACATGTGCTCTCTCGCGCCCGCTCACAAATAGTAGTTGAAGTCAATGGAGTTGCACCGATTTACATCAGCTGAGGATCTGGCCCGCTACAGATTAAAAGGACACGACCACGGGGGACCCTTAGCACTGCCCTTTGGCAGCTAGCTCTTCAGGCCAACCTCAGCACCATCCAACAGCCATGACTCGCTTGGTTAAATTATATTGTGTGTTTTAATGTCTTCTCACACCTGTCAAATATTCAACCGCCTGGCAAGGGCGCTTCGGCTCAATCTGCACTTCCTTTCAGATACCTTGGTGCAACATCTGTCCTGAAACGCTGCCTGCTCACCTGGACGTAACGCCCCTGTAGGGTGACCAGATTCCCGATTTTATCGGGACTGTCCCAATATTTGCTTATTTGTCCCGCGTCCCGACCTACCTTCGGTCGGGACGTGAATTGTCCCGATATTTTGCCTCCGCTCATTGGATCCCTCCCCAAATCCCCGCCCTGGCCCTGCCTCCAACCCCACCCCCTCACTGCCCCATTGGATCCCTCCCCAAATCCCCGCCCTAGTCCCGCCTCTTCCCCAAACATGCCGCATTCCTCCTCCTCCCCCCTCCCTCCCAGGCTTGCGCTGATCAGCTGTATGGTGGTGCAAGCGCTGGAGGGAGGTGGAGACGGAGCGGAGGCAAACTGGTGGGGGGGGCGGGGTGTGGAGCTCCAGAGGCCTTTTTTTTTGCTCCGTCCCGGCCCCCGCGTCCCAATATTTCACCTGTGTGATCTGGTCACCCTACTCCCCTGTCTCCACATTATTGCAGACAGCAGGGGGTCCTGCAAAGCAAGGCATTTGGGGATAAATCATCCCCACTGTTTGCTCGGGTATAGAGGAGCAACAGGGCTACGATGTTGCTCGCCTGGCTGTACAAGAGTCAAAGTGTCCTTTCGTTAAGCAGCACACAATGGGTCTGGGCCAGCTCTGAGGTGGCGAATGCAAGGTGCACTCGATAAAAATCGCATCGTTAGGCAGCACAACCTCTTTGATCTCAGCCTATGTGTAATACAGAGTGATTCAAACATGTACAGTAATTTCAGCACCAAAGAAAATTGTGATCTTATCGAATAATTGATCTTTTTTTTGTTACTCCAGCTCACAGCCACTCTCCCCTGCTAATGGCACAAAATGAAGCTTTTGAAACAGGCGATTTTTATCCCATAATTGATTTTATTCACATCGGACAGCACATTCTCCATGTTAATAGGAAGGGGGAGGGGAAAGTGATGGCTCTTGCAAATGAACAGCCTGTATCCCATACATCAGTTTAAGCAAAAAGGGCTGGATCAAGATTCCCCTCGAATGTCCCTTCTCCTGCTGCAAGGCCATTGGAGTGAAATTTAAGGGAACACAGGCCGCCTCCAAAGGCATGGCACTGCTTCACAGCACAAAGAGACTCCCAGGTCCCTCAAGGCCTCTATGGTTTTAACCAAAGGCGGCTTTATTTCTCGTCCTCCCTCCGGAGCACTCCCAATATTTCTTACTGTTGCTCACCCTGTTGGGCCAAATTCTGATTTCAGTTACACCAGCGTAAATCAGGACCTAACTCAGTGATCCTCAATGTTATTACTGATCAGTGACATGGAGATCAGAGTCTGGGCTGTTGAATGTAAACTCTTCAGGGCAGAGACATCAAGGCTCATTCTGACCTTACACTGGTGTAACGCCATTATTCTCCCTGGAGAATACTCTCTCTCTGTTCCCTGGGGGCCAGATTCACCCTGCTGTAACTCCAGCTGAGTCCATCTCCACCAGTGGAGTTATCTCAGAAAGAAATTTGGCCTTTGGGTTCCATCTGGTCAATTTACTAAGCAGAGGAAGCGATTCCCCTCTGGCACCTACTAAGCCCATGCAACAACAGAGGAGCAAGCTCAATTCTATTCCAACCCTGATCTAAGCACATTATCAGGCCTGGTCTGATTGCAGAAGCTTTATTACCAGCCATGCGGCAATAGGCAAGACGACCATGACTTTATTTTCATATCCCAAGGTGAGCATACAGTTGCTGAGAGTTATAAAAATCATCTTTTAACTTGCAGACGCAGCACATTCAGCAGAGGGAATAAATATGGTGCACCACAGTGTCATTTCTTACAATTGCTTTTCTGCTTATAGCCACTCTACTGGGCTGGGCTGCCTCTGATGACAATCACAGAACAGTCCACTTTACTGAACATCAGTCTGGCATCCCAGGACACCAAGAACGAAGGAAAGTTATTAAAATGTTAAGGCCACTCCAGTCCATCAGGAGGTTCATGAGCAGAAGGCTATCCATAAAAGTTTGTAGGCTCTTGGTAGGAATGCAGAATATTGTGCAATAAATATAGTTTATGTTTTTTTAAGGCATCTTGTAAAACATGATTTACCAGCACAGTGAAAGATCAGGGAAAACTGAGCTGATTGCATCTCAGAACCACTGAAGCCCTGAAATTTACAAGGGTTGGAGAGGATCCTGAGATTCCAGCTCTGTTGAAGAAACAGTCAGCGGTTTAGATCCCAAGCTGAAGTTGTGTTTTTGAAAAAAAGTTCTATAAAACTTAATATGAATAGAAATGTTTCCATTTTAAAATGGCCATAAAAACAGGTCATTTAAAAAAAATGTATATGAAACAGTGTTATTGAACTAGACAGGAGACCCAGAAAAGGGAATGGACTATAAACAGGAAGTGAAACTGACCAGCCAAGTGAGGGAAGAGCAAAAATTAAACCATCTGCAAAATATTACAAATTTCTTTCAGCTTTATATAGAAGAGGTAATATAGTGTGGTCCTAATTCTCCATTGCCCTGCACCTTGTGTACTCCTTTACACCAATGCTCAAGTGGATGTAGGGCAGAACAGTGGAGAATCAGGCTCTGCATTGAGAGATTTGTCAGTACAGCATCCCTTTAAAAACCTTGGCATAATGGCAACCTATCCCGGGACGGTATGGCTAAGCGGCTTGGCCCTTTGATCTCTGAATAATTATGCTGCAAGGGAGTATGGGCAAGTCTCTGCCAGCTTGAGCTTGATGCTTGCCAAGTTCACATGGCATAATGGACAGATGCAGTTCCAAGACAATGCAATTAGGCAACTGCTGTGATGTCAACCATATGTTCTAGGCACCTCTGTTCGTACTTGCAGCATTACAAGGACACCAGCCATTTACATATGGTGGTGAGGCTGCAACAATAAACTCTGAAGTTCTGAACAGCCTAGCCTGTGGGTACAGTGGTTGAGTGTGCTCCAGCTAGGATTGTGTGCTCAGCAGACAAGGCAAGGAAACAAGCTACTGTAGATGACTGAATAGGACTTTTCCATTTATAGATGCCGATCCTTGGATAGAAGGCATCTGATGTCTAGAAGCAGAGCTGGTTTATCAGACAGTGAATGCTTCCTGCAATTAAAATGGAATGTTCCCCCATCAAGTTTGGGGCACTGTGCTTCTGGGAGGTGCATCTAGGGTGACCATCTGCATTTTAAGGAAATGCCACTAGAAAGACTATAGTCCAGCCCACCTTCACTTCCAGAAGCTCAGGCCACGCACAGGCAAGGCAGCACTGCCTTTTGCCTGGCCTCTCCCTGGAAGCTGGGGAGACTAACAGACTGTCATTACCGTGCTCCTCCTCCTCTTCCCCCCGCCCCCAAGCTGTCTGCCTGCCCCTGAGCTGACTTTCTCTCCTTTTAAACTCTTCCTCCACTCCTGGCATACCTTGAAGGTGCTGCAGGGTAGGGCCACCTATGAGCCCAGAGTAACTCCTTAACCCCTTCCTGCACAGTGTGGGGCTTGCACACCCTGCCACATGTGTGTCACCCTACACAGATGGGACATCAGACGCAGAGCTTCAGCACTTGATTACATTCTGCAGAGTTTACCCCAGTGTCCTGGCCAAATTCCTATTGGATAATTACACTCTCTTTACTATAGCTAAATACCCCCTTGAAGTCTCATTGGGATGCAGTATTCTTCAACCTCCTCTCCTAAACTTCCTGTGAGGCTGCATGCAATTGGATGGGAATGTTTAGACAGCAAATCTGCACTGGATATCAGGAAGGATGCATTGTATATATATACACAAGTGTTTTACTGACAGACGGCTTCTCCAGCTTGCAGGTAGGCGATTTACCTATTCCTGGACCACTGACAAAGGAAAGGAAAAGCCCTATCACACATGCAGGGACCACACATCAGTTCTGGATTATTGGATAAGATCTTCATTATATTTCCACCATGTTTTATCACCTCTTCCTCACACTAGAATTCTGTCTTGGGAGTTATTTAACCGATGTGCAGAAATCTAAATTTAATTTATTATGATCTAACTCACTTTAGAAGCCAAATTACCCTGCACTAGAGAAAGATCAAGTCAATATTCCACTTGCCTTTCTATTTATCTTCTGCAGGGCTCCTCTCTCTCTTTGTCTCATTCATTTTCTCCCATGTTCTGGTAATAAATTCTAATTTTTTTCCTACACAATTAGGCAATTTCTCTTTCAATGCTGCAGTTTAATGTTTGGTATTAATTATAGGAAACAGTCACTTCTTTTGGCAGAAGAGTTTGAGAGATTGAATAAGTCTACAGCAGAGGGAGAAAAAAACCCATTCTCTGGTTTAAAAAAGGGGGGAGGGGCAGCCTACCACTTTAATGAAATAGGTTCTTCTCTCTTCCTCTCAATAGCACCAGGCAAACCACTCTGTTAGGAAACTTGCCTGTTACAGATTCACTTACAGTAGTTAATCAGGTTCACCAGCTGTGAAAAGCAAGCTCTGCTTTTGTGCTTTAGATGGGTGAATGACTCACAGAGTTTGAGATCAGTTTAGAAGAGTTGCATCTAAAGCCTTTCAGGACTATACAAACTGGCATCAATATTAGCCGGGATATA